TGCAACTTGATGCAGTTATAGCCAGGGGAATCACATTTAAAGAATGTAGTCCCTTTTAAAAATTGTTTTTTTACATGAAGACTGGCACTGTCTACAAGCTTTTTTCATTATTCTTCATCCCCTGTCTGTAGCTCCTGTCACCCTTCTAGACTTAACTTTAGCTTTGATCTAGAAATCCAGCCAAGAAGCCAACTCCCAACACTTTGGTAATACTTCTTGAAAACTTAAGGTTTGCAAGTCTGTGCAAGGAAAGAATTTGCATTTCAGTTTCAGACAAAGCAGAGTTTTCTGAATCGTGGACACTATTTTAACGTAGGAAACATATAACCAGACTACATACACCAAGTTCCAAACAGCAATATGATGATGATGACCAATTATTCTGGTTTTAGTGAGTTAGGTAAAAGGATGAATATTGTCCAGAACACCATAGAAAAGCTCCCTGTTCTTTCTCAAAAATTTGGCATGGGTTCTTTTGCATCCACCTGAGACGGCAGTTTGATTTAATGTCCCCATTGAAAACAAAACTTCCAAATTGGAATGCACACCCCTGATATTGCATTGTAGAGTTGAATTTTATGTTCATATCTCTGAATTAGGACTTTGCACCCATTGCCACCTAACTCAGAGGTGAGTGTCATTGTCACTGAGTCATGACCGTTGTTCTAACAGGAATTGGAAAGGACCATGAGTCTAGAAGAATGAGGGATGATCTTATAGAAACATACAAGATTCTGAGTGAGCTTGACAGAGCTGATGTTGAGAAGCTATTTCCACTGGTGGGGGCATCTCAAACTAGGGGACATAGTTACAGAATAAGGGGACACTCATTTAAAAATGTGATGTGAAGGAATTTCTTCTCTCAGAAGGTAGTGAATATCTAGAATTTCTTATCCCAGAGAGTTGTTGAAACTAGATCACTGAAACTTTTTAATAAGGAAGTAGACTGATTTTGAAAATACTGGGATTTGTCAGCTATGCTGTGCTGACATGGAAGAGGAGTCAAGGCCTAGGGCAGATCAGGTATGATCTTAGAGAATGATGGGACATTTTGGGGGCCTGAATGGCTTAATCCTGCTTCTATTTCTTATGCTCTTACATCAGAGATTAAGGTGCAGAATCTTCAAATTTCTTGTAGTAATTTACCTGGGAGCTAATGTTTGCCTATCAATTACACCTAATTATATAGAATATACAAAGCAGAAACAGACCATTCAGCCCAATTGATCCACAGAGTTACTTTCCACATGAGCTTCTTCCCACTTACACACTCAGTAAGTCTATTCTTTCACCTTCATGTGTGTATATGGCTTCTCCTTAAGTGCTTCAAAGCTATTCACCTCACCCACTCCATGATGTCCTCCAGCCTGAATTATCTGAATAAAAACATTTCTCCTGAATTTCTATTATCAGTGATGATCTTCCACCTATGGCTCCTTAGGGCAAACATTTGTGTATTTAATGAGAACAATTTTCTCACCCTGGACCTGTCCACGGTGCAGCAGCAACAAGGCAAAAGAGAGGATAATGTGCTCTTTATAGCAATTGAAACTGCTCATTGAACTGAATGACTGTGACACCTAGGTGCCAAGATATACAAACAGCAACGATTTCACTTAGGCTGATAGCATCTGACTAAGAATCTGCGATCATTAAAACATATGGCGCATTTCTAAATGATAGCAGATAAAACAAAGACCTTCCAGTGAACAATAGAAAAAAAGTAATTGAGGAGACAATGAAATTATTTCTGAAGAAGGGTCCAGACCCGAAACGTCAGCTTTCCTGCTCCTCTGCCACTGCCTGGCCTGCTGTGTTCATCCAGCTCTACACCTTGTTATCTAAAACTCCAGCATTGGCAGTTCCTACTATCTCTAAATGAGGAGACAAACTACTTTACAAAGTGTGTACATGTTGATTACATACATCTAAAATGAAAAGTCTCTCAGGAGGTGTTTATTTGTTATTCAACATAAGATGCATCCATTTTTGTACAACTCAAACCTGTGAAATATAATATTATTGATACATTATCAGATACAAAAATGTGCAACTATTTAGCACAAAACAACAGCATGGCTAGAAATGGTGTTTTCAACTTCCAGAAAACATGAATTCAACATCAATGAGTAGTGTGATTCAATGTAAATATGTCTCCACAATTCATTTACTAACGTCACTACTGAACACACTATACCTGTTATGATTTCAAGAAATAAGAAGAACTTACATCAAGCAGCACCTTTCACAAACTTACAATGTCCCCAAAGGCACTGTACTATCTAGAAAATCCTCCTAACGCACAGTCACTGTGTACTATAGGAAACACCATGGTAATTTGTGCACAGCAACCTCTCATAAACACCACGGAAATCAATGACCAGAATATCTGAGTTTGGTGATGTTCGAGGATCCATTTCAGCCAGACTCTTGGTTTTCTTTGAAATAGTTCTCCACTGAATGTTTTACCTCTACTTGAGAGAACAAACAGGGCATTGGTCTAACACCTTTTCCAAAAAGAAGCACCTCTGCCAAGGTTCTACACTGGACTGTCAGCCTAATCCTCGTTCTCAAGTTTCTGAATTGGAACCTAAACCCATGACTTTGTGACTGAGAGGCAAGAGTGATACTACTGAGGCATGGACAGGATAAAGGTATCAGTATCAACTCTGAATTTTACATCTTTTACAGTTAACTTTAGATTCAATTTGCACCAAAATGTTGATGACTATCATTCATTGACCTGGCGTTGCTGGGATCCAGGTGTATAGCTAGCAGCACTCCTCCACTATTTCAGCCAAGCAGTCCTTTCAGCAGGTGAATGCTCAGAATATAGGTGTTCTTAAAATATTTGACAACAGCAGGCATTACAGCCACATGTTGTCCTGCCCTCACCTTCCACACAAATATTCCAATAGGAATCATGGAACTGTACAAGTCAGAAAGAGGTCATTTGGCCCATTATGCCTGTGCCAGCCCTTGAACACCTGTAACAAGCAGTATCAACCACTGTGCCACACTGTAAGACACAAGGTAAATGGAAAAGTCAGACAGTAATATATTCCAGTGTGTCAACACAGCATAGAGGTTAGCTTTTATACCTTGAGTCCATCCACAGAAAGTCAGTCTCTTTTTTTCCACAGGTTTTAGACAATTGGTGAACGAAACAGAAAGGCCATGCAAGAAAAAAATTTGCACAGGGAGGTATGATCAGGAATGCGCTGCCTGAAAGGGTGCTGTGGATCGACTCAATAGTCATTTTCAAAAGGGAATTGGATAAGTACTTGAAGGGGAAACGTCGGCAGGCCCCTAGAGAAAGAACAGGCAGATGGGACTCATCAGATAGATGTGCCTGGGCAGAATGGCCTCTTTCTGTGACATCTCATTCGATGAATTTATGTCCTGCACTATTTATGTGAGCAAGTGAGTTTGTTCTTAAGATATATTCCTGTACTGTATTCCACAGGATTTGTAGCTCTGTTCTGAGTCAAACAGGAGCTGCTACAGCGGCAGCTCTTTGGGATTTATCTGAATGAGTGTTCAAGGAGGGAAGTGAATGCAGCACATAAATAGTTCTGATGTTCTTACTTAGTGTTACAAGTTGTCTGATTCCAAGTATACTGGATCATTTGGCAGGACTTCAGAGTATTTCCAACAAGCAATGGCAGTCCTGTCCCTGAGTGTAGCTTTCAATTCCATTCCACACTGAATTGATTTGTCTTTTTTTTCTCTTTATTTGAGACATCATATGATTACTTAAATAGAAACAATGAGATGGATTATAGGGAGAAGGTAGGGCACTACGTCAACATGCTCAGAGACCAGGGTGTTGACATGATGGGCTGAATGGCTTCCTTCCGTACCATAACAATTCTGTGAATCAGATAGCATGAGAATCTCTCTCTACATATATCTTGGCAGCACATATATCCCAGCAAGAATCAAGCACAGCATTTTAAGAATTGGTCATCCCATTCACAAAATTGGCGAAGTGTCTTTAATGGAAAGGTCACATGGGTGCAGAAGGGAATCTTACAGCTTGGAGCAGATTGTTAATTAGGAAAGAGCAGTTTTTTACTCTACATCTGAGCTTTGCCATTGTCAGTGTGAGAGTGCTTCATACTTGCAACTCGGCATCAAAGTGCAATCATGCACCTACCTCACCAACTGCCTGGCATAGATTAGAAAATGTTATTTTACACAATCCACATTTTGACTCACCAGTTCCACAGACTCCTACCTCCATGTCAAGGCTAGAGAAACCTTTATTTAGTCTATCTTACTTCCTTTGGTATTGGCAACACCCAAAAACAACAGGTCTTTCCCACTCACAAAGCATATACCAACATAACAAGTCACTGCTCTTCGATGATGATTCACTGTGGAGACCACTAAGAATCTTGTATGTAAATACAAGTATCTTTAAATTATATAGTATCATTATCATATATTACTAGCACATAAATTGAAGTTACTGTTGGTCATTAGTATTTCAATCGTTAGAGGTGATACTTGTGCAAAGATTTATCCCTAACATCACTAGTTTCACTAAATATGAAGTGCTGAGCTTGTATTTTCCTAGCAACACCCCTATATAGTCTAGCCATGTTTAACTTTGTGCTGACATGACTTGTGAAACAGGTTAAAGAATCCCCAAAAAGCAATTTCCTATTGACAGGTTTGTCAATTACTTTGAGATGGTACAGTATGGTTTAGTAACTATCGTGCCAATGAAATAATAAAGCCTGTTGGTGCTTGTCAAGTTAATAAAGTAAGTCCTCTTTATAAACTTATTAAGTTCAGTTTCTGATAGCATAGTGAAGTACTGAAGACTGAGAGAAACATTCTCACATGCATGGCACACAATGAAATGAAAATTTTCCCAAAAGCAAGAAGGTACATTTCTATGCCTTTGCAACATTCACTCCAGTTAACTCTGAAATTGTGACCTGTGTTGCTGGCAATTGCATTTCACACACACAAAACCTGACACAAGTGAACATTATTTAAGAGTCACAGATATATTCAACATCTCTTTTTGTAGACAATAAGATGGAATCTGTTTAACAACCAAGAAAATGAATCATGGGTCTAGGGCATAAGTTTGCCCTCTTACTCTTTGCCTTAGCACAGTAAATTGTTCTTTCGCAATAGCTTTAAGAAAGAGTAACCAAACACCTTCAATGTTATTCCTTACTCCTCAAATAAGAGGCCAAAGTCATTGAGCCCTTTCAAGCGTTGCATGATTTGATCAGATTCCAATGGAAATGAAAACATTCTCAAGGAATTGGCCCAATTTGATGTTCAACTTTGCTGTAAGGAGCTGGGACTTCACAAGATGCTTTTCAACATTACTTCAATAAACTATGAGTGGTTTTCCCATTGAGCTGTGTGTCCCTGGACCGATAACGGTATGATGTCTAGAGGAAAATACTCTTCAGTGAATGCCATTCATCTCTGACATGACTGTATGGTTGAATCTGTGGCCGATGCTTAATTCTTGCTCAGCTGCAGGTTCTCATTGCCCCATCAAAGCCTGTCATCAAATGTACCTGTTTATTTTTTACTCCACCATAAAACTACTTGGCCTTCCATGGGGGAGCAGGTTGCTGACTCCATAAATTTGTTGCATTGACCAAATGCCTGTAGTTTTGCTGTCTCTAATTTCAGCACAAGATTTAGCTTGCATGGGTACTTGCTGCAGACCAGGATGGCCTGGATTGGGATATAATGGCATACCCGTTGGTATATAATACAAGCTCTCCATGTTTGCCGAATCAGCAGAGAAACTCCTCTGGACATACTGTTTATGTTGCTGTGAATCTGTTTTATCTTGTGGGATACTTGGTTGGGACAGTACTTGGCCTTGCATTTCCAGAGGTCTTTGAGAAGACATAGGAGGTCCTACAAATAACCCAGGGTATGGCATATTTGGTAAATAAGATGGGCTCATAACTCCTGGATTTATAAGGTAAGGAGGGAAAGGCACTTGGTATACTCCACCGTAGGGATGCTGAGGCATCATGACTTCCACGTACTGCCCTGTTTCCGGATCCAACAGCATTTTACGAGGAGGTTGAACTGGAGCATCCACAAAGTAATATTTTCCTGTTTCTGGATCCACAAGCATTTTTCTCTGAGTTTGAGGATACTGAAAACAAGGCATGGGAGAGTTGTCTACGTCTTGAGAAGTTTGTGGAACTTCACTAACTGTCTCCACAAGGTTTGACGCCCTCGCACCTGGAGAGAACGGAGGCTGGGTTTGGTTTACGGAAGAGTAAGGTGGGTTTTTCAGCTGAGCACCAGGGGACTGTGCATCCTGGGTAACCTGATGAGACACTGTCTGTTTCTCTTGCCTTTGAGGATCCATTGCCTCCACACTACGCTGATGCTGAAAGTAGGGGATCGCCGATGGTGGATTTGCTTTGAAGGTGGCAGATCGAGGAGAAACAGCTGTTAGTCCCATGTTGGGCACCTGTGCCTTCTGCTCTTTCAGAGGAATGGCAAGATAGTTTAAGCTGTCGAGGGAAAGCGATGCTTGTTCCTGAGTGACTGCTCCACCTGTGGGCTGTGTTTCATCTGCAGAGGAACTCAGCTTGTTCATATCCTGGCTGGACAGCCTGACAGCAGGGAGTGTCTTCACATTAAACTCTGTTGAACTTGAATGGGTCTGTAAATGTGTCTGCTGACACGTTGCTTTGGTTGTTGACACAGGGATTTCAGTGGTGAAGGTTGACGAACCTTTTGAATCACTGTGATTTTCCAGTTTGTGAGTTGGTGTCTTCACTGAACTTGTTACTGTTTGGTGGTGATCTGTGGGTTTCACAGAGGATACAGTTTGTTTATCTGTGCTGTTAACTGAAGAGGAAATAGAAGCTTGTGCACCAGTATCATTTAGGAGTTGATGCTTCACAGATAACGATTGTTTGTTTCTCATTTTGGCATCGGCGGACTCCAAGTTATTCCTGTTTTCTTCTTCTAAAATCAATGACAAAACATAACTATCTTTAATTGGCTGTGATTCCTTTAGCATTTTCATGCCTGCTTTTTCTGAAGCTTGTTCAGCTCTCCCCTTTTTAACTTGTTTCTGAGATTCAGTCAGACTCTCTGTCTTAGTCTCAGTCTTGCAAATGGACGACTTAATGCTTTCACTAGTCTGGGTGCAATAATCCTGACAGGTTTTTTGATTTTCCAGAACAGTCTGGCTCTCATTATTGGCTTTGGTTTTCCCAGTCAGTGACTTTTCTTCATTTGAGCTTCCCAGTTTCTTACTCTGATTCTCTAATCGAATTTGGATATCTTTGACAGTTTCATATTTCCCCGGTGGTGATTTGATGACTTCACTGTTTAAGGTGGAATTACATGAGAATCTCTTTTCCTTTTGCCATCCAATGTTTGTCTCATTTCTAGGCTCACTTCTCTCAGGTATTTTTGAATTGTCTACAGTTTGTGAGAGGGAGCTACTCATCACTACAGTCTTCTTTTCCAATCCAATCTGACCCTTTCTTACATCGTCATCATTCCCAATTGGTGACAGTATATCCTCACTACTGACAGTAGATTTTCCAAAGTGTTTACTCTTCCATTCCACCTTGCCTTGACCTTCTCTTCCACGTTCCTCATTTCCTTTAATTTCTTCAGTCTTTAAAACCACATTTTCAGAATTGTCATTCTTACTTCCCAACTTTCTGAACTGACCTTCTTTGTTTAATTCCCCTTTCCTGGTTAATTCTTGAGTGCTCTCATTTTTTGATGAAGACATCTTTCGAAGTGTCTTCTGCTGATCCAATCTCGAGTCAACCTTTCTCTCTGATGCATCTTTTCCTTTCGAAATATTTGAACTGGTTAAATTGGAAGTTGAAATTTTTAAATGTTTGTTCTGGTTTAATGGCTCATCCTTCTCAGCCAATGTTTTGGCAATGTTATTCTTTGAAATCGTAATCTTCTGGTGTTTATTTTGATTTTCTGGTTTGTCTTGAGCTTCTTTTTTCGAATCACTTCTCCCATGTGTCAAACTCAAATCCACTTTGAGTGAAGTGACAGTTCCAGCAGGTTTTAATTGGCTGTGCGGTTTCACTGGGTCATCTTTTTTGGTACCAACATTATTGCTGAGCACTGTATTCTCTTGTTTCGGAATGAATTGTGCTGAAGCTTTCTTTGTTTTTTCTCCAACAGTCTCAACCTTATTAACTTTCAAATGTGAATTCAACAGTGATGAATCTGGGCACTGGTTTTCCACACTAGTTGACCAACACTTTTTGACCTTGTCCATCTCAGACATCAAATTACGATCTTCACTTGTTGAAAGCTTCCTCACCAAACTTACATTTTTTTTCTCTTGTGTATCTTTTTTACAGCTATCTCTTAGAGGAGAAACCCTGGTAGCTTCCTTACTTGAAGCAGATGAGCTCTGTGATTTGTCAATTTTGTTTTTGTTCTTGATGTTCTTTGAATCTGCAGGATGAATTGCCTCTGCACCCTCTGCTTTCCCGACGTTTTTGCAAATCTGGTTTTCACTCTCTGCTTTTTTAGGAGTATCTGTTTTGCTTTTCTTAATATCAGACGGAAGTAGCAGCTTGATATCAGACGCATATAACCTGGAGGTGTCTGTACTGCCTGCGTAGGTCCAATATTTCTTGTCTACTGATGAACTGTACGACATTTCTCTGTTGCCTTTCCAATTTATGGATTTGCATTGGATGTTCATAGGCAATGTTGGGATGCTGCCCACTGGTACATTGGTTTGATCAGGCTCTGCAGGTAGTTGTGAACCATCAGGATGAAAAAACCCAGAAGGTTTGGCTTCAGAGACATGGAAACTTAATGCCCCATAGGTATTCTTGACCAGTTTGCGCACATCTCGAACCTGATGGATGGGCCCTTTTGCTCTCTGTGCTGTCGATTCACCTCGGTCAAACTGGGGGTCAACGATTCTACAATCGTCTGTCTCAAATTTAAATGAAGCAGGCAGAGTCTGATATTTAGGGTCAAGAGGGATGATCTTGCTGTGGGAGCCTATGTTTGGAGCGAGCTGTTCGACTGTCCCATATGGGTCCACTTGCTTCTCTTGTGTGGTTGGAGGAGCAGGTGTCACCTTGGGCGGTTGTGGCATTATGTTGCTCCTGGATGGGTTTCTAGTGTCTATTTTATTACCCAGTTGTTTATAGCTGGGCTTGTCTTCAAGAACACTGGGCTGGCTGTCCTTGGAGTAGCTGGCCTGTTTGGTAAACTGTGGGATAGCCTCCACATATCTCTCCTCCTGGCTGTTGCGTGCAGCGGCCTTTTCAGGTTGTGAATCATTGGGGAATCCTGCTCTCCCTGGCTTCGCTGCTTTCTTATCCTCGGTACAGCTCTCCTTCCAGCTCCTGAAGCCGCTGGGATGTGGAGGGCCAGTATCAGGGCAGCTCTCCTGCAGCACCGCACTCCTGGTGCCTCCTAGCAGCTCAGCGCTGAACTCCCAGCTTCTGCCAGGCTCCTCTGCCAAGTACTCGCCCTCCTGAGTGAGCCCTGGCAGGGGCAACTCAAACTCTTTGACGTGCGCCGAGGACGGGGTGGACGGCACGGACGAGAAAGGATCCTGGATGGCCCCCCGCTCCATCTTGAGCTCTTGCTCAAACTGCATCTTCTTGGAGATGACATTGGAGATGTGGCAGGAGGCGAACTTGGCCTTTTTGGAGCTTTCTTCCTGGGGTTCAGCTCTGTGCAGGACACTGGCCCTCACCTCCTCTTCCCGGGACATGGTCTTTCTCTCCTCTGGGCAGGCACTGGCCTCGCTGGCGCGGAAAACGCTCAGCTCACTCCTCTCCCTCTTTTTGAGCTGGATCTCCCTCTTGGGGACAGTGCGGGCTTCCCCCCGGCCCCCGGAGCTATCCTCCTGGCTTCCCACAGCCACCTCCACACACTCGAAGTGGCCGCTGCCGAGCGGGGGGGCTGCCCGGGGACCAGGCTGCCCACTGGCCGGCCTCAAGCCCTGCTCGGCCGGGGTGGACCATTGGGTGGTGCCGCTACTGTCCTCGGACAGCGCCAGGGACAGATCGGTGGAGCCCCCGGACTCGAAGAGCTCCATGTAGCTGGTGGGGGGGCACGCCAGGCTTCGGAAAGCTAACGCCGTCAGGCGGCCAACCTCATAGTCCGTCTCGTCCAAGTCACTCACCAGACTGGAACTGTCGCTCATGAAATCTCCGCAAGTGTTCGCCACGCTCACACGCTGGCCCCTGGTGAAATGCTCTGCAAACTCCTTCTTCTCCACCTGGAACATCTTGCCCTTCCCTTTCGGCCTCCCCTCCCCACTCCCACCAGCCCTTCCAAGTCTCAGATGATGGCCCCTGGATACTGTGCCTGCAAACTGCTCTCTGCCCTGCAAAGTCTCCTGTTGCACCCTCCCTTCCCCTTACCCTCCCCCACCCCCACACCCACACCACCAGCACCAAGCTCTGCTCTATTCTGGGCTGTGATTGACAGCTGAACCTGTCGGCCTGCTCTCCCTCGGCAGTTGCTGCTGTATCTGTCTCGCCAACATCTTCCCCCCCCACCTCCCACAGTCTCTCTCTCTCTCACACACACAGTACAGCCCCTCCCCATGGATCAGGTTCAGTGCATTCGCTGACCAGTCCCCCTCGTTGCCAGCCGGAGATGCAACTCGGTCTTGATATTGCCCTTGCAACACTGAAGCTAATTGCTGCCCAAGTTTTCATAGGTTTTTGTTTGAGGATTAGGCTCCAGCCTTCACCTCTACCGACCCAAAACACAAAACAACTCGTGTGTTACCCTTAAACTTGCACAAGTTGAAAATGAAGCGTGGACGCTACTCCAATGTAGGAAAATACAGCAGCCAATTTAGGCACAGCAGGATCCCGCGACACTGCTATGAATAACAGACCATAGATAGAACTGCACAGCACAGGGACGGGCCCTTTGGCCCACGATGTTATGCAGAACATGACACCAAATTAATACAATCCCTTCTGCCTGCCCCTTGTTCATATCCCTCCATTCGTGGAGTCATACAGGACTGAAACAGATGCTTCGGCCCAACCAGTCCATGCTGAACAATTCCTTGCATACTCATGTGCTTATCTAAAAGCCCCTTAAACATACCTGCCTCCACCACCACCCCTGGCAGCGCATGCCAGACTCCTACCACTCTCTGTGTAAAAAAAATTGCCCCCTCGCCTCCTTTGAACTTACCCCTATCAACTTAAACGCATGCCCCCTAGTATTAGACATTTCAATTCTGGGAATAATATTCTGACTGTCAGTCACCTCTGTGCACCTCATAATTTTATACATTTCTGATGATATGATCATCTGTTGTTATTGAAATGGTTTGGGGAGGGGGGGTGGGGGTTGTCGAGGAAGGTGTTGACCAGACACTGTGGAGAACTTACCTGCTCCTTTACAACCAGACAGCACAGGAAGAGGCCATTCTGGACTCTTTAAGGGAGCTTTCCAATTAGCTTTAGTGGTTTCCATCCACAACATACTATCCCTTTAAGGGGTATTATTCCAAACGTCTTCCAAAAATTCCAATGGAATGTGCTCCCAGGCAATGTATCCCATATATTTTGAAATAGCTGTGAGGTCATTTACATACAGCAGAGAGTTTAGACGGGGCCACCTTGGCATAAAGCCTTGGCTGCAGTTGGCACCGAAGACAGGGCAGCACTCCCTCCGTACTGTACTGGAGTGACTGCCTGCAGTATAGGCCAAACTCCCTAGTGTAGGAATCAAAGCCACAACCTTCTGAAACAGAGACGAGAGGGCTATCCATTGATACTTCTCATTGAGCAAGCTCCCGATCGCCTATCTAATACCTTCTCAAGTGGCTCAATGTCACACTTTGTTTTATAATGCTGCTGATAAAGATGCTTATTATGTTAAAGGGTGCTACATAAATCTACATAGCTGGAGTACTGTGTGGGGTTCTTGCCCAGTAATATAGGAAATTTGTGATTACACTGGAGGGAGTGCAGAGGAGATTCAACAGGATGTTGCCTGGGATGGGGCACTTTAGCTTTGAAGAGAGGCCATACAAGCTTGGATTGGAGCAGAGAAGGCTGAGGTGGTCCATATGGAGGTGTGTAAGACTATGAGGGGCATGGACAAGAGGGGATAGAGAGCAGCTGTAGTTGAAGGATCACTACAAGGAGGCACAGTTTTAAGGTGAAAGACAGGAGGTTTACAGGGGATTTGAGGAACATTTTTTTCCACGGAATGTACTACCTGGGATGGTAGTTGAGGCAGGAAACCTCACAATCTTTAAAAAGTACTTGAATGGGCACGTGAAATATTGTAACATTTGAGGCTATGGGCTAAGGTTGGAAACTAGAACTAGTGTAGCTTTAAAGTAGCTTGGGTAGTACAGACTTAATGGGCCAAAGGGCTTTTTCTATACAGTATGATTCAATAAACACACATTAATGCACACAATTGTTGCAGCTCCCTCATTGTGCTCGTGAAACAAGCAGAGAAAGAAGCTATCAAGATCCATACCCAGCAGCTGCTGAGTAGGCAGAGCTAGCTTCCTAACTCTGGGATAGGGAAGAAAAAGAATCCCACCTAGGAATTTCTCTGAGTTCCCAGTGCTGATCCCTGTCCAAAGAATCCTGCTGGAAAGTACATGGATGCAGACTCCAGGATTTGGGTAGATTCTGCTGCTTTTTGTGGCCAAATAGCTGGCCAGAACTTCCTTTTAGACATGTGCATGAAGACTGGCCATTGGAGCTAAGAAGTGGCCCAGTATGAGTCAGTCCTTTCAGAAGAGGAGGGGAGAAAGTTCCTGATTGCAATGGAAACAAATCCAATTGATTTTGCTAATGGGGATCTGTTGTAGCTAATGGGGATTGGTTTAGCTTGGTTGGCTTACTAAAGCAGTATAATACCAACAGCATGGGTTCAATTCCCATTAGCAGCTGAGGTTACCAGGAAGGCCCTGTAATAGCTCTCAGGTTAAATCACCACCAGTCATCTCCAATGAGAGAGCAATCCTATGGTCTAGTAGGACTATGGCAACTTGATTGTAGTTATATTTATTTATTGAATAAAGAATGAGTAATTGATACCATTGTTAGGTCTGTGATTTCATAATTCCACAGTGGATGAATGTGCATTTTAACCTTTCTTTTGTACTTGCTGATAAAATGGTCCATTTTCCCCAAATGAAAAGCATGCATTCTGGATCCTTGTGAGCACTTTATTTCATCAGCTACTGAATGTCCAATTGATGTTTATTAAGTACATAAATAAGCAGAAAACATTTACCTGGATTGTGTGCATGGTCTTGTAAGCTGGAAAGGTGCAACTAAAGCAGCACAAAATGCTAGTCAGCAATTGCTGTGAGCCAGCACTTCTGGATAAGGACATGGGTAACCTCAGCATTTCAAGCCATGTGGAAGCGGAGAGTTTTTTGGAAGGTTCCAATTACAGGACCCTACAGGAAATCAGCAGAACTGGAACTGGCTGAAGAGTTGTCAGGAATCAGATCCACATCCTCCTGCACCTAGCCTTCTGCATTAATATTTCACCACCAGTTCTGACCTTGTTCAACTCTTTTATTATTTACATTTTCCCTGGAAATTAATTCACTCTTCTGTATTTGTGATGGAGGAGAGGCTGTTTTCATGACAGCTCAGAGACAATTATTCCCACATGTAATGCATTTTCAAAGCAGGATCAGGAAACTGGCACCTGGATAGATTCTGAATCCCAAAGGCAGCATGGTGGTTCAGTGGTTAGCACTGCTGCCTCACAGCGCCAGGGACCTGGGTTTGATTCTACCCTCGGGAGACTGTCTGTGTGGAGTTTGCACATTCTTCCTGTGTCTGCGTGGGTTTCCTCCGGGTGCTCTGGTTTCCTCCCACAGTCCAAAGATGTGCAGGTTAGGTGGATTGGCTGTGCTAAATTACCCATAGTGTTCAGGGATGTGTAGGTTAAGTGTGTTAGCCGTGGGAAAAGCAGGCTTACAGGGGAGTCGGTCTGGGTGGGATGCTCTTCGGAGGGTCAGTGTGGATTTGTTGGGCCAAATGGCCTGTTTCCACACTGTAGGGACTCGATGATAAATTGCATCCTTTGTCACTATGGTATTTGGAAATAACGTGATGGGAGGTGCCAGACTGGCATCAGCAGCAGAAGTAGGCAGTGACCATTTTGGGATCTGCCACTGCCATGCAAAGGACAGCAGGAAGTTCATGATGGGACCCAGACAGTAAACGTGGTGGAAAGTAGACACCATGGACTCCAAGGTAAGGTAGCATACTTGATCTGGTGCTAATTGATCCCTCAATTTTTATGATGAAACACAAATGGAAACAAAATTTCTTTCGCCCAGAGAGCTCAGTAATTATGCATTAATGTGTTTACATCTGCCCAGAAAAAGAAGGATCAAAATCTCTTTTTGGTCCACGCAGGCTCCTTAAGAACTCTTGAAAGAGCTTCAGAGGTTGTTAATTGGCAACAAGTAGATTTCCTGTTCTGTCCTCTCTGCCAGGCCCTTGAAAATTGCAAATTGAGTTGGAGGTGGCATGATCCAATGCCAATCTCCGAGAAAGGAATTTTCAAACAATACCAGCACTCATTCCCACCCTCACTGACAATTGAAAATCGAGTCTGAGTTCTCTAAGGGAGTTTTTAGAAGACAACATTTCTCTCAACCATTCAGCTTGGAGATCATTTTTGACGGTGAACTTTCCAATCTGACCCAGTCCTGCAATTTTTATCATGAATTATTTTTAAAGATATTTTTTCCAATTTTGAATGTTGTCTCTTTAGATACGTGATTGAGGAGCCACCAGTTGTCAAGCTCCTGTCCTGAACAGTCCTGCTTAAGCCAAGCTCCTATTAAGGAATCAACTTGCTCTGTACTTTACTACATCAATTCCACTTCTACATGGTTTCTGTTTCACTTCCACTTCCTGTTCTTCTGCAGGTTCTCATTTCCAGTTCTTTAATACAGCAGTGGGCTGTTTTGACCCTGCACCTGAAACTCAGGGTAAATGCAAATAATGCTGCTTCAGAATTCAACAGCTGATGCTCAATGTTTTTGAATCTGGAAATGATTGGACTAAAAGACATGAGCATTCCTTCCAAAGTTAAAATAATGTCATTCAACAAATCCTGATTAAAAATTAATAAAACATTCTAAAATCTGCTGTTAAAGCCTAATGACTAATATAAACTTGACATTCAAACTTTCTTATGATCTTCTGATCAGCTTCCCATCCTGCACTCTCTTATGTTATGCTGTCTAATTCCTAAAACACA